TCCATTTCAAATTTATCTCCGTTTGGCACACATTCTTTCAAAACTCATTTCAACCACACATTTTTCAATAGAATAATATTTTTCACCACATCAATAATTTTTCCTTACTTTTTAACCACATATTTTCCATCATATTACTATTTAAAATACATTATTTCTCCAATAATATCCATCAAACCCATCCAAAAACAAAATTTAATTTGTTATATTATTGTTGACATTGCTTGAATCTTTTCCTTTTTAATCGTGTTTAATAGTATTGGTCAAATGTTGAAAACTCATTCTCATGGGTACCAAATAAGGAATTTAACAACCCTATCAAATCTTGATATCCATTTGGAAAGAACCTATAAAACATGCACAAGGAGTTGTTGCATCTCCTTGTCATGAAATCTTTGCCAATAGAGTATAGGTTATAGACCTCATAATTCTCTCTATCCCCAAATCAAACCATCTTATGCATGAAAAACCACCCAACCCCACATGCACATTTCCAAGAAAGGACCAAATTAGTCCATGTTTGGCTCCTTTTTCTTAAACTTATTTTCTATATGTTTCGTTCGACTCCCGACTTACTTATATAATCTTTTTAATCATACATTTCATTATTCGAAAAAAACTACCAATCCGATAATTTTTAAATGGGTGTAAAAATCTATAATTTTTTTTTTAAGAAAAAACTATAAATCTCTGTTTGTTAAAGATTACAACTTAGATTTTAATTTAAGTCAAAATTAACAATGAATTTTAATCACATATTTTAAGGGATTCACAATTTTTCAGGCATACATTTCATCAACTTTTATTAAAATCTACTAAAAAATTGATTTTAATTCCTACCAAATATGGGCTAAATGAGCGAACATATAATACAAAATTTTGTTCCTCTTATACTTTGTGAATAATTTGTAGACTTGAGTGATCGAGTCACTGATACAAAATCCAAACAGCATGACTTACCAAAAACACTTGTGTAAGATCTCTCAATCTGTTTCTTGTAGGGTGTGTACGGTGCACCAGCTCCCTCTAATCATGAAAATTTGTGAAGATCTCAATTAAATACGAGCCCGCCACGTCAACATATGGGGGCCCACTTAAAATTGGGGCCAAACAGGGTGTCGAAAAATGAATGGTCCCCAAGCTAGTGTGTGGGTCCACATTGGTTAGGTTGGGGTGGCGTTGTAGATAATCTTTACTCGTACGAGGAGAAAAGATTATACGGCGGCTGGGGTAAAGCGACATCGCCGACATGGAGGGTTTGTTTGGTACAACGATAGGGTGTGTTTGGATGTTATTTTTTATTTTCGGAAGACACGATGGGTGGTTCTAAGAGGTAGATATCGCTCTGCGTGGAATTATAAGGATTTGTGCATACAGCAAATGATCCCTTACCATTTCACTCTTGCTAGTTCATCTTATTTACTTTATGTTTGATTCATTTTTTGGGAGAATAAATTTTATAATATGATTTTTTTGGAAAATATGTAATTAAAAAGTAAGAATTTTTTGTTTACGTGCAAAATTATTTCATTAGGGGAATATGTAGTTGAAAATGAGTTTGAAAAAATATGAGTTTTTGGAGAATGTGGTTCAACCAACCCCTTAGTCCATATTTCGTTCCCATTTTTTAACTTCACATTCCTTTTAATTTATTTTCAGGCCATGTTTGAGCCACATTATTTTTTCATTCTCATTCTTCTACTCATTTTCAACAACACATTTTTTAATAAAATAATATTTTTCATTACATCAATAATTTTTCATTCTTTTTCAACCATATATTCCCCATCACATCAACAGTAAAAATTCATTCTTTTTCCAAAAAATGTGCACCAAACAGGGGTTCAATTACACATTTATGAGGATTCATAATTTTTATCAACCTTTCAATCATATATTTTATTATTTTTTATCAAATTTTAATAAAAGTACGATTTTTAGCTAAACGGAACAGGACTTACAGTCCACTCTATTTGGATCATTAATCTTCGTTTTAAATTAACTCCCAGTAGTATAAACCTTTTTCTTTTTGTTTCTTCTAAAAATTAGAAATGTTTGCATTGCGTTTAAGGGCCCATTTGGCAGGCTTCTATTTTTATTTTGGATAATGCTAGAGGTACATAAGCATCTACATAAGGGTGTCCATATTGCTGATGTGGCAATCATCCGGTCATTGATGTGTAAGTGACAGATTTAAATTAAAGGTGGGATCAAATGCCACATCAACATTATGAACACCCTTATGTAGATGCTTATGTACCTCTAGCATTATCATTTTATTTTTACTTCTTGAGTAATTTATTTTAGATCATCTTTATGTAAATGTTATTTTAATAAATAAAGTATTTTCAGAAAATTATTTCAAAGATAATTTTTTATTTTCAAAAATAACTTTTTATTACTTTTAAAAACGTGTGGGCCTGAATGTTCATTAATCATTTTCTAACAAAGGTTCTTACCAACCATAAAGTGATACAAAATCCCAGTCACAAAAAGCACCAAACAAAAGACAGAAGATCAACAGCTCTGGTAAAAGTGAAAAGAAAGGTGGCACTATCAACTTTGCTGTTATAGACACACAAAAAGCTTCAAGAATCAAAACACAAGCAGTATATATACGCATGTCCTATGCCCAATTTGCATTTCTCAGCTGTTCCTAGTCCTGGACTGGTTGGTTGCTTCTTTTCTCTCTCTAGATCTCTTTAAGCCCTTCTCTCACATTTTACAATTAATGGCTACTTCTATATTCATGGCCTCTGATCACAGCACAAACACAAACCCACAACCAAGTATTCATTTGCCAGAAGATGATGATCACCAGCCAATACGTCGTGGTAGTGGAAGAAGAAGGACGAAAGGTAATGAGTCCACGGGTCAGAAAAAGAAACAGCCGCAGAGAGGCATGGGGGTGGCTCAGCTTGAGCGGCTCAGGGTGCAAGAGGGGTGGAAAAACCCCACTAACCAGACCCTCACCATTAATCCAGCTTCTCTTCCTAATCTTGCTGTGATGAATCCTAATTCTGTTCCTATGCAGTTTGCAAAGCTGGGTGGGTTTGGGACTGTGAATGGGAATGGGAATGTTGGACATATGGGCTTGAACCAGAATCCGGGTTTCTTTGGTTTTCAAGAACAGTTTCAAGTGGATCCGTTTGGAGTTGGGGGATCGAAGAACTCGAAAGAGCTCTCTTCAACACCAAATGGCGTTAAATGCTACTATGGACACTGTAATGTTTGTCACAAGGTATCCCTCTTCAAATTTCATTTTCTTCTCAAAAACTTTCAAGCATAATCTTGAAATTTAGCACACGATGGCTGATTGTTTTTTTTTTTTTGACAGAAGAAGAGAGTTAATGGCGAAATTTTGGGGTGCAGTAGAGCAAAATCAGGCATGTATATGCAGATGTCTCCCATGGGTAACTGTGACTTTTTAGGATTAAATGTTGGAGATAATCCAAGTATTAACCAAGAAAATCAAGAAGTTGGAACACAAGCACCAATCATCCCTCATCCCCGTTATTCGGTTCGGAATTGCCAGTCGGTGAGCCTTGTTAAACTTATTATCCTATCGTGATAGTAGAACACCGAATATTTGACATATAAATTTTGTTTATGAACTGTAGAGTGTGGAGGTAGTGGCATTTCACAGGAAGGGAAATTCAAGTACAGGAAATGGAACTTTGATGATGGAATATGAATTTTTTCCAGGCAGTAGAAGCACTTGTAACAATGAAGTTGGGACGATGAATTTGGGAGTTAATTCAGAAGCTTCTTCTTATGCAGATGGAGAAAGAGAAACTTGTTTTGATGCGTCCACTTCTCTTGATCTGTCCCTCAAGCTTTCTTATTAGCAGTTTGTCTTTTCACTTTTATGTGAAAGTTATGTTATCAAGAAATTGAACACAGCTTTTTGATTACCCTTTTGTTTCTCAAACTATTTTCACCTCCAAAATGGAACCATACATGTTCTGATTTCTGAATTTCAGTCTCTGATCTTTGTTATTCATGAGTTCATTAATTTTTCTTGTGAGGGTGATGGATATGAATTGTGGGTTTGTGGTAAAACAATAATGATTTATGAGAGAAATTACGTGTTATCTTGTTTGGTCATGACTAAGCTTCTGCTTATACTTCTTGTAGCTTTAGTCTAACTTCCTCTAAAATCTTTTACAGTCAAAAAAAGCAAAAAATTATTCAAATATGTTCAGAAACAACTTTTGATTTTTCTAAAGCCTAACCAAATGGCTATTAACTGGCTTTTCCCTAACAAGAGGCTAGTGTAGTTGCAAATCTTTGATTAACTAGCTAGGTTAAAAATCAATAGTTCATCAAGTGTTTCACCAAAATCTTGTAGAACACAGCACAGATTCATCATTATTATGAAATATAGGTCAGCCATAAACTTCGTTTTCATACTTGTAAATATTGAATTCTTCCAAGAAGAGCTAGAACATTAGTTCGTGCTCCTTGGAAGGTCTTGAATAAATGAATACTCGAATAGTGTATAAGAACAATAAGGTAAACAATGAAGACGATACTTTTTTTTTTTGCGAAAAATGAAAAACACGTCAATGATTCTACAACACTTAGAAATCAAGAATCGTATATTCATTGATTTATTCAAAATATCGAATAATTAAAGAGGGAAAATGACCAACCAATAATCAAAACCCTAGCTAGTTCTTGTTTCTAAAGAAAACAAAAAACCCTAATCTACTACACAAGAAAATGACTTAAACCAATCATTCAACTGACCCTATGGCTATTTGCATCAAAATAAATTGTGAATTAGAATCCATTCAAGAACTAAGTACACAATTTACAGAAGCTTAATCAGTACATACTTCTTGAAAACCCTAGAAATTAATTATGATGAAAGGCATTGCCTTTAATAGACTTTATTTGTTTCTTGTAAGTGCTGAAACACAAGGAATGCCTCTGAAAACTTTCTTTAACTGGGAGTCAGCAATCCACTTCAGGACCCTTTTCAAAAATCTTGAAAAAGCTATAAAAATAGAATGCTAAAAAAAAAAAGAAAAGAAAAGCAGTAAGTAGTTAGTATTTATAAGTACCTGCAGAGCAGCCTATGTAAGTATTTATCAGCTTACTTCAATAAAACAGTACAAATCTGTAATGAGTGTAAAGGTGCAGAAGACTCTCAGTAAAACTAAGGCTGTGAAAGCTTTTTGAAACCCTATTTTGGTTGGTTGATGCAGTAATCTACCAAGACCCCTTTTGTGATCAGCTTTTTTGTTTTTCCTATTTCAATTTATATTTGTAATTTATTACGTCGACCTAAGTTTATCGGATCATAAAGATTATCAAATATCGCGACGTTGATGATATGGGATCGAAAACTAAAATTGCACCTAATCGCGAAAGGCGCCAAGATTGTATAAATATTCATTTACGCTCTATCGACTGGTAAATATTTCAAGGCATGGCATCTACGAACAACAAATGTTGCACTTTCTTTCTTAGGAATTTTACCGTAAAACTTATAATTTGTTGGTTATCCGAAAATAAGGTTTTTCTTTGACATTCTTCGTATTGTTAACTTTTCTGTTGTTCTTTGGAGTAAAAGGGAATGGAAAAATATCAGTTTAATAACCTTTTTCCTGTAATTACTTTCTGCACAGATGACTTTCAACCCAAATAAAAAGAAAAAGAAAAACCGTGGACGGCAGGATTCGAACCTGCGCGGGCAGAGCCCACATGATTTCTAGTCATGCCCGATAACCACTCCGGCACGTCCACCAGGTTGTTATTGGCATCTTATTTTTTCGTATTCTTTCCTATTTACTGCTTTTCCTCTCAATATAAGAACTTTAAAAATTTGGAAATAACTATATATTTTATATTGATAGACCTTAAAATAATTTATTATGAATCATGCTATATGTACAATCTAACAATATTGGTCGACAACTCATACTTGATAATATCTCATTCATCCATTTCAAAAATCGTTTTTTAAATCAATGGCTTAATTTTGACAACACTAACATTGTCACCATTATTGTCAAGTATGATTGTACAAATAGAATAATTGAATTTAGAAAGCCTTATTCCTAAGGTCAATGTATAAACAAGGAATGACTTTATTTACCTCTATGATATTACAATCATGCTACTTGTACATTTGGAGTTGACACTCGAATGACATCTCGTCATACAGGGGTCAGTGATTTTTTATTTTGCACAGATCTCCTATGTGAAGGGGGTGTCAACCTTGGATGTACAAGTAACATTACTGAAGATATTATATTGGGGAATGGATTTACCTCTCTCTCTATTGTTGCAATTCAATAAAATAAGATCGAATTAATGACTTTTTATATCTAAAGTATAATTATATTGACACTACGTATTTTTATGGATGTATCCCATTTGTAGTTACATTAAAGGTTCCTAATTCTTATTTCTTATCAAACTTATATGTCCAACTTATTTTTTATTTTTTTATCTCATTCTTATCATCAATTTGAACCAATGTTTGACAGTGATTAAAATCTAAATTTTAGTCTAAATTAAAGTTAACAATTAATTTTAATAACATATTTCAAGAGATTAACAACTTTTGGCTATAAATTTGATCAAATTTTATTCAAATCTGCTAAAAATTTAATTTTAATCCCTATCAAATATAAGTTAATATTAATTAGTACATATTATCGAGTTATATTAAAGTGCTTTAAAATAAAGGGTGAATATTTAGTCTTACTTTTATATTTATTATTTTTTTACTTATTTAAAAAGTACAACATTTTACGTTTTTTTATTATAATTTTTTGAAGAAAATGTTAAATTGATAGAAGGTTAAGAAGAGAATACTCAAGAATATGAGTAATTTGTTCTCTCTCGAAACTTCTAATTAAGGATAAAAATGAAGAGGCCAATTCTCGAGTTAATTGTACTAATAATTAGTGAATTGATGTTCGTGTCTTCGATTACTCACTGAAGTTTCACACATCTAGTTTTGGTCACTAAATTTATCAAAATGTTGGACTTTACTTACGGCATGACATCCGTTACTTAACTCTAATGGAATTGGTGATATTGTAGACGGAATGCACAAGTGGCGTAATTCATGGCACACCAAATTGCCACATAAAAAAAAAACGTTTTTGATTGCTCACTAAATTTTTAAAAATTGTCTTTGATTGCTCGCTATGCTTTAAGGTGGTCGAGTTTTGGCCATTAAACTTGAAAAACTGACGTTGGCCTGTCCTCGATATTTAGGAATACTTTCGAAGTATCATTTTCATACAACCAAAATAATTTTGCAACATATTACAAGGCATTTTGCAATGTACTTGAGCTTTGTAGCAATTCTTTCCCTATTTGATCTATAATCTACATTGACAAGAAGAAAATATCGACGATTTTGATGATTAATTTTAACAAAAATATGTATGATATATATCAAAAAAATTCATAATCTATATTAACTGCAAAACCGCAAAAGTGGAATAAGAATAACATTTAAAGAAGGGAAGATTGCAAAAGCAAAGAAGGAAATTGTACCTGCAAACTGTATAATTCCAGAGTTCAATTTCTCGGCCAACCAGATCTGTTTGTGGAGCCACAATCAGGTGGTTTAATGGGTTAAATTTTAGGGTGAACACCTAGCTTTCCTATAAATGTAGCTCCTTCTCGGTGGTTAACCAGGCTGGATGGATAGTTATACAAAGTTATTATAAGGTACAAATTAAGTACATTTGAGATTGTAAATAGGTACTTAAATAAACTTAAAACATTAAATTTTGACTTATTTTCTTTTTCAATATGGCAGATCATTGTCCCATACCACCTGAGTTTGGGTTACATAAAGAAGTTACTTACCCAAGTATGGTCAAATGGCACTTCAAAAAAATAGAATGAGAATGAGGTTATACAGTTATACTCATTTCAAGGAGTTCATTGTCAAAATTTAAACACCTTACTGATTTTGCTATCATGAAATACCTGCCATACATATATTTTTTGCCTTTTCAACAAGCATACGCCTGCAATTTCAGTATTTTATTGGAGTTGCTTGTTTGTGACAGATTCCTAATTTAATAGGTTCAGGTCATCCTCTCACAGAAACAGGTATGTAATCTGATTTGGTTAAGGGTTCCTCTTGAAATTTGCTAGTTCATCTTTCATCTTTAAGGATATCAGTTGTTTTACTCCTGAGTTACAGACATTCTTGAATAACTCTATCTACTTCCGACTGTGGACATAGTTAGAAATGGAATATAGCATGCATAGAACCTTTCTTTTGATTTTTTATGTTTTTTCTTCGAGTTTGTCACTATTTTTGCCGAAGTTTTGATGATTCTAAAACCAATCTTTTGCAGTACGCAGAAGGCATCACAATCTACGAGCTATATTTCAGTTGTACAAGAATCATTTAGATTTACTTGATGCAGGATAAAAACTTTTCAATACTGACGTGGCTCTGTAACAGTCATACATTCAAAGAACCATAGTCTACCACTCTCTGCCACATAAGTACTGGGAAATTTTAATCCTGCACGTATGGAATAATGTTGTGTGTTTAAAGATTTGCTTTCTCTGTGTCCTTTGCTCTTTATGCGTCATTATTACTGGAATCTTGGATGTGATTTTGGATCTCAATTAGCATTGCCAGTTATATCATGGTGGCTGCAATGTCTAAATTGTTTCAATCCTTGTATGCTTTTTCTTATGAAATGTGCAATTTTTTTCTTGAATTTCCATCTGTGCATGCACGGTGCTTTTATCTTTTGCACGAATCTGTTTAGAAGGTTTGGGATAAAATTCCTGTTTTGACTTTTTTGCCATAGAATGAGAGCCAAATGCCAAACGGCTCTATGCAGCAGCAGAGAGCCTGGCCTCTTCTCTTGGCCTGGCAGGAAGGCCTTCCCGGTGCCAAACCTTTCTGCCAGGCCGGGAGCCGTTGGGCTACCCAACTGCTCTAATGAATTGATTTTGTAATTGAATGCCTGTCCGGGTGGGTCTCGAGCTGGGCCTCACACAACTCACATATGAGGGTTGGTTGGTTGGTTCATCACGGTCCATGACCAACCCATAACATGTCAAGCCGTCTAGGCGACTCTAAGTTTATTTATCTATCCACAGCATTGAAGTCCTGTCCGGCTGAGTCATGAGCTGAGCCTCACACAACCCACCTATAGGGGTTGGTTGGTTCATCATGGTTCATGACTGATCCATAATCAGTCGAGCCACCTAGGCGATTTCAAGATTATTTATCTACCCTCAGCATTTAAGAAACAATTTCATTTATTTCAAAATATTAGAGAAAGTAATAAGGCATTTGAAGTGGCATAATGCAGAAAATGAATTTGTAATCAATACAAGCACCAACTAATCCGATGGATTATTAGAAAACTGATTCGAAGTGTAACAACAATAGCATAAAATATTAATCGTGTTCATGGAATAAAAGTATTGACCTCAAAAAACGAACTCAACAGGTGCCAGACCCACTCGTGCATGCGCAAGCCATATCCGACATGTTAAGGTAGATCTACGGTCTAGATCACTCCAAAGATTGGACGTGGGAGAAGCTCAACGACACGAAACGTTTCTGTTCGGGCTCTGGCAAGATTCACAGAACAAGATTGTATAATGATCAATCGATAAGAGCAAGATTTGTAGTTGTAATAAACTGATAAGAATAAGATAGATTGCTTTGAGTATTTAAAATTTTATTAGCCTTCAATTATTACATGGTGGGAGTATTTATAGTGTTACAAATGAAATAGTGATCCTTGGATTAAATTACACGTGGCCTCATCTCCTCGGCCGAAACATTAGATCCTGACTATCATATTGACTTTCCTAACTTTACAAGGCATTAAATGACCTTACATTGACAAGACAGTACATAAATACACTTTTCACAAGGGTTATGTCAATCATTCAAATAAATATTTTTATCATGAGCAAATCCTTGCACGTGGGCCGCCTAAAGCTGAGGAGCCTCAGATAAGGAGGTGGGCCTCTGCTGATAACAGGGCTCGGATAAGGTGGATGGGTTGGATCAGGTCCCACAGCTTAATTTTGATGACCATGTGACAGTTCCTAGTAACGAGTCATAACAAAAAGTATAGTTAGTCGGTTTGAATTAGAATTGGAAACAGTTTCAACAATCTGGTGAGTTTGCCAATGCCTAGAATCATTGCAGATGCATCTCCTTCACCAGAAACAATTTCTTGCTGCAGTCTTCTGAGTGAGCCAACAATTGCTGCCGTGCTAGACTTGATCAGAGCCTCTTCTACCTTCCTCTGCAATTTCAATGGTCTGAACAGGCTCGAGGTTGACAAACCCACAACCTAAAATTCTTGAAAACGATGGCCTGATGCTGAATTTGATGTAGCAAATTTGGACTCCAATTATGAGGTTTCAAATTGATCCCTAATGACAACACGTGGATCCGTTTATGTTGCTTGATTTCAAAGCAGAAGCTTCATTACCAATTTTTTCCATGAAAAAACCCGGACTTTCGGCTGTAAGCTAAGTCAAATAAACGTGTTTGACAAAAGAAATTCATCACTCCAACATTTGCCACGATTTAAAGAAGCTACGAAAATGAGTTAATGAAATTGACGTAAATTATTGAAAATAAGCCCTTTGTTTGGAAATGTTTACAATCTGTTTATAATTGATCGAACTTACTTTTAATCCACACACCTCTTGATATTTGTAAGTGCTAATCACTTAAAATTCAAATCAATTATAATCGCCCACCAAACAGGACTTTTTGACTTTTCAGTCTTTAATGTCATTGAAGTCGTCTATTACATGGAAAATGATCATTATCATCATGCTTAAAATAATGCTACATGACAGTAATGGCAAGTTCTCATTCATCATCACCTAAAGACCAATCATAAATCTTTCATCTAAATGTATACACTAATCTGTTCGATTCTTAGTTCTAAAAGAAAATGGCTCGATCACAATCTACCACTTTTCTCGGTGCTCTTGCCTACATTTTAACGTTTCTAAAATTCTCTCTAGCAGAAGATACACTTTCTGCAAACCAAATAATCCGTGACGGGCAGACTTTAGTTTCTCAGGGCCAAAGGTTCGAGCTAGGATTCTTCTCCCCTGGTAACCTCAATGGCAGGTTTTTAGGGATATGGTACAAAACTACCCCGGATGTTGTTGTTTGGGTTGCAAACAGAAACCAGCCCATTACAGACTCACAAGGAATCTTGAATATAAGCAGAAATGGAACTTTAGTTCTCAGTAGAGGCCAAAGAATTATCTGGTCGTCAAATTTGTCTCGTGTTGCATCAAGTCCAGTTGTACGTCTCTTGGACACTGGAAACCTTGTACTAATAGACAAGACAAATGGAACTTCTCCACAAAACTACATGTGGCAGAGTTTTGATTACCCTGGCGACACCAGGTTACCAGGAATGGCGATAGTAGACAGCCCTGGTACCGAACAAGATAAATATTTGACATCTTGGAGAAGTACAGATGACCCATCCCTTGGAGATTTTACCTACAGGGTTGAAAATCATGACCTTGTTGAACTGGTGATCTACAACAAGCAGGTAAAAAGATGCCGTAGTGGCCCATGGAATGGGCATTACTTCAGTAATCTCCCTATCTTTCCCACGGTACCTTTTAAACCGAATGTGGTAATAAATACAGACAGGGTTTCAGTATTTGATAACAGTTCATTCATCACCAGATTAACTCTAGACGAATCAGGCTTTCTCCAGCGCTATATGATGAATGAGGGCAAAAATGAGTGGAATCTTGTTATGACAATACCCCGTGATTCATGTGACAATTATGGTCGGTGTGGTCCTAATGCTATCTGCAAAATTAATAAAGTACCAATATGCGAGTGTCTGAAGGGATTCTCACCTAAGTCTCAACAGGATTGGGACGTACAAGACTGGTCCAGTGGATGCACTAGAATTAGGCCATTGAATTGTCAGAATGGAGATGGTTTTCTACAGGTGGGTGCCAACTTTCCTGATAGGTTGCAGTCTGAGTGGAATATTAATATGAGTTTTGATGTATGTCAAGCACAGTGTTCCAAAAGCTGTTATTGTACAGCTTATGCTACTCCGTTTATAGGTGATGGAGTCAATGGGTGCTTGATGTGGTATGGGGATTTGATTGATATCAGAGAGGTTCCTGGAGCAGATAGCACATTGCACTTCTATATTCGCTTGCCACGTTCAGAACTAGGTAAGTCTATTTGGTAAAAACTTCTTAGATTCTCTTTTATTTTCTAAGACATGTATCTTAGCCGGAAAATAAATGGCATGCTGTTAGAATCTGAAAGTTATGTTGGATTGAAAATTTAGGTCACGTTCTTTAGTGGATTATGAATACTTAACAAACTCGGCCCACCATTGATTCCATCAAGGTTGCTAAGGTCGACCTGTTGACATGCAATGGTGTCAAGTAGCCTTGCTTAGGCCAGTTTACAAGCCACATTGCCTGTTTGAAAGCCGGACCACCTGGTCTGGTCCAGGTTTTACAAGTATGATCATGACAGACTCGTGAATAAACCTTATTTTAGCTCGTGTTAAATATAGATAAGAATGGAATGTTCATATAAATAAATAGATACGGTCCAATTATCCTTAGTTCAACTGAAAGCTTTCTGCCGGTTGAAAATGTGAAAACTCGTTTTCCCTGTGGGAAAGGAAGGTCTAACATATAACAGAGTGGAGATCCTCGGCTATCATTATTCTGAACTTCTAAAAGCTAACATCACAGTATGCAGCCTAATTTTATAATCAAGTTTAATAAAGCAGAACTTCAGAGAAAAAGAACATCGACCAATCTTGTTCATTGTAGAATATAGCGGCAACTATAGATAACAAGTTAATTAAAACATGATTCATGTGAAGAATGATTACATTAGCTGGTCTTTTCAGTTGTAGTGTCGGACAATGATTCAGATAAGAAGAAGAAAAAGAAAACGCCCGGAAAGCTAATCTTCATATCGACTGCTGTTGGAGTGCTCATCTCTGGCATAATCTTGGGGGCAATACTTCTAAAGATAAGACTAATGAGACAAGGTAAAAATACTACCCTGTTTATTTCTTTATGAAGGTTTCCAAAATCCCTCAAACCCAGACTGCACAAGAATATATAATTCACGCTGAGAACATGCTTTACACAATATCCTAAGGCATAATTTGTTTCACAGGAAAAAGGAAAACAGAAGACTTAGATTTACCTTCATTTGATTTGGCAACTATTGCAGCTGCGACAGATAACTTCTCTAGCGAGAACATAATTGGTGAAGGTGGTTTTGGTCAGGTTTTCAGGGTAATGGACACGAGTTGTACAAGTTTACACGTTGTACAGATATATAACATTAAAATTTTGTATATTCAGGGCAGCTCACCGGATGGACAAGAAATAGCAGTAAAAAGACTGTCCAAAACATCCAGACAAGGTCTTGAAGAATTCAAAAATGAAGTGAGTTTGATTGCCAAACTCCAACACAGAAACCTCGTTAGACTTTTGGGTTGCTGCACTGAAGGAGATGAAAGAATGTTAATCTATGAGTACATGCAGAACAAAAGCTTGGATAATTTTATTTTTGGTTGACCTAAGGAACCTTTTATCTTATTGATATGTTTTGAATAATCATATTTTAATTTCAAGGATTTTTGACGCTCAGAAATTGTTCAATTCGGTGCAGATCAAGAAAGAAGGACAATATTGACCTGGCCTAAACGGTTTGACATTATTATGGGGATTTCACGGGGTTTGCTCTATCTTCACCATGACTCCAGATTAAAGATTATCCACAGGGATCTGAAAACAAGCAATATTTTGCTAGATGAAAATCTAAATCCGAAAATTTCGGACTTCGGCTTAGCAAGAATTCTCGGAGGGGGTCAAGGTATTGCAAGAACAAAAAGAGTTATTGGGACATAGTAAGTTTCTCCTTAACTCGAGCAAAACATATAATTACTTGTACAATATCTCATAACCGATATCTTTACACAGTGGCTATATGGCTCCAGAGTATACCATTGATGGGAAGTTCTCCATAAAATCAGATGTCTTCAGCATGGGAGTTGTCTTGTTAGAGATAGTGAGTGCCAAAAGGAACAGAGGTTTCAGACATTTAGATCACTATCACAGCCTTTTAGGACATGTAAGTAGTGCAAACAAATCGAACCTCACTTTCGTAGTTAGCTTTTGGTAATTCATAATACACATCTACTGTTTCTCGTGAACAAAAAACTTGTCTAACACGAGCAATTTTCACAGGCATGGCTACTTTGGAATGAAGACAAGGCTTTGGAACTAATGGATGAATGTTTGATAGATTCATTTGTTGAATGTCAAGTAAAGAGATGCATACATGTGGGCTTATTATGTGTTCAGAAACACGCAGAAGACAGGCCATTAATGTCTTCTGTGCTTTTCATGTTAGGAAGTGAGGAGGGAGCAATTCTTCCAGAACCCAAGGAACCTGGATTTTTCATCGAAAGGAGTTCTTTCAATGAAAAAACCTGTACATCAGAGGCCAACACATATACAATCTCAATAACTGATTTAGAAGGCAGATAGAGAGGTCGAACAGTACGATAATTATGGAAGAAACAGTCACTTATATGCTAAAATGTTGATTAAATTCAAGAAAATATTCTTTTCAGATGTTGCGTGGTAAGATTAGTTCAATTCTTGTTCTTCATGAAGGTCTGCTAGATCCCAATTCCAGACTGAAAAAAAGAGAGCAATTGTATGCGATTAATTATATGTATTCATGTCCTTGATTGATGAATGAAGACCAGGATTACCGAAAAGACCGCTTCCGAGCACTTGCTTTTTGCTTGTGTAAGAGTAGACGAAATCAAAAGCAAAAGCAAAAGCAAAAATAAAAACAAAACAAAAACTAAATTTGATTTCCATTTGGAGTGGCACCTGACAAACACTTGTAACTGCAAGTTCCTAAACCCTCTGTCCAATTTCATGAGTGCCTCAATGCCTTAATTGTGACCAAGATTTTTCTTACAAAATTAGGTTGTCTCTAACATTTCAGATAGCACAGTTTTGGGTTCCTAACTTCCAAAAACAAGGTTTTAGGTTCCCAACTTATTTAAAACAAGAGTCTGGAGAGAATGGATGTGACTTGTGAGCTTGGAAGATTCATATGTAAATCTCGAAGTAAAGAGTTGTATACAAGTGGGCTTATTATGATTGCAGAAGACAGGCCAGAATGTCATCTGTGCTTTTCATGTTACAAAGTGAGGGAGCAATTTTGCCAGAGCCCGAAGAACCTTGATTTTTTTGTAAGGAGTTCTAGTAACAAAGAAACTTGTAATTCCGAGGCTAATAGGTCCAGTACAAGTAAATGAGCATAGCTAACCTAGAAGCCAGATAGAGATTCAACAGGGGAGTAACTTTTGTACAATCAGAGAGTTTGCGAAAGTTTTAACAAAATTTTAATTAAATTAATGACTGAAGAAAAATGTTAGCACAGTAAAATATGATTCATGTGAAATTAATCTGAAATCTGAATCACCCTACATCCAATCCTTTGACGGTCTTATTTGAGATCTCAAAATTGAATAGATTTCATTCAAATTGAATCGCACTTTCTGATCATTTCCAAGTTTCAATTTTTTTTTTTTTTAAATTTTCTCGTTCATCTGTAATTGCGAACGAAATTTGTCTCATTGTACCATATTATAAAAGATCAGTCCAAGTCATTCAATTTGATCTAGAAATACCCATATTCAGACAATTTCAAATAAAATTACTATTTTTACAACGGTAGGATACATGATAGTTTCCAGAACATTCTTCAAGTCAACCTACTATAATATATATCATTTAAGATGTATCCCTTTGTACTCAAACCATACAGTGTCAACACCTGGAGGATGTGAGTTGCTGAAAAATGGCTTAATCTGTGGTACTAACAGAGTCTTTTTTATTTGTTTGATTCATACAATTTTCATGTTAACCAAACATGTCAACACCTAGACAGCCCAACCGACCAGCCAACAATGTCTTAATCTGGTACAAACATGAATTTGTATGACATTGTAATTGAGCTGGAGGAAGCAATCAGACATTTTCTTTAAATTATTTGGGATATATGATATAATGAAAACATATATACACAATCGTAAAGCGTTATTGTTCCCTTGAATTTTTACATGATTGATGAGTACATCAGATTCCCATAAGTGCTGTAACTTATATAGAAGAACCGATGTATATAATGGAGGAGATCAGGGGCGAATTCAGGGCTCGAGTTCAGAAAGGGCGGACGGCGAACATTGAACGCTTACGATCAACGGTCAACGTCCGTGATAGCGGTGTTGTTTATTAATATTTAATTAAATAATATTCAAAAATCGTACGGATTAGAACTAGAAGAACTAAATACACCACAAGAACTAGAACTAGAACTAGGTACCAACTTTCATTTAATTTATTTTTCAATCAAACATGCAATATATATTAACAAAATATCAATATTCAGTTTACAATTAAAGTTAAATACAATTTTCATGTTAACCAAACAGGTCAACACCTAGACAGCCCAACCGACCAGCCAACAATGTCTTAATCTGGTACAAACATGAATTTGTATGACATTGTAATTTGAGCTGGAGGAAGCAATCAGACATGTTCTTTAAATTATTTGGGATATATGATATAATGAAAACATATATACACAATCGTAAAGCGTTATTGTTCCCTTGAATTTTGAATTTTTACATGATTGATGAGTACATCAGATTCCCATAACTGCTGTAACTTATATAGAAGAACCGATGTATATAATGGAGGAGATTTACCACTTAGCACACTGGCTGAAGGAAAAATATATCTCTTTTAAATGAAAGGAAAATCGAGCAATACTAAGGCAACTAATGTTATCTATTATCGTGCTTCTAGCTGTGTAATGGTCACTTGGTTTTTTGAACTTGCTGCATTGATGCTAGTTGTACTTTCAGCAGTAAATAAATTTCTTTCCGTGAGAAAAAAGGCTGTCTAGCTGGAGGCAATTCACCTTCGTTTCCCAACATCATCACTACTGAAGACAAGTTTTGCCTATCTTCTGGACGTTGTTGAACGCATAACAATCCCACTTGGATCGACCACAGCATTTCTGATAAATAGACGGAGCCAAGATAAGCATCAACTAATTCCATATACCTTCCTTCTTTATAAAGCTTCCACACCTGTACCAATTGAATTCACTTAAGAGGACAATTTTTTAAATCTAAGTGCTAACAGTACTAATTTCATATAATACTTACATGCCCAAGAAGGTTGTGGTGGTGATCCCTGTGAGAAAATCCTCTGTTTCTTTTGCCAGTAACAATCTCAAGCACTAAAACACCAAAGCTAAATACATCTGATTTTATTGAGAATAATCCATCTACTGAGTATTCTAGTGACATGTAGCAGCTGCATGGAAAAATTTATCAATTAAGTTAAAAGACATAGAAGAGAATTTCGTGCATTATGTTTGGCAAGGGCTTATAAACCGTCAAATCAATTTTTATCCACACTTTTCGTGAGACCCATAAGTAATACCCACCACTCATTTCTATCTAGTTATAAACAAAATCATTTATAAATACTTTCCAAACAAGTTCTAAGATTCTTAATATGTTCCAACTACTCGACTCGTGTGAGCTCCAGTCTCATTTCCTTTGAAACTTCTAGCCATGCCAAAGTTTGATATCTTTGGGTTCATGTCCGAATCAACCAAAATATTGCTAGCTTTAAGGTCTCTACGTATGATTCTGAGACGGGAATCTTGATGGAGATACACAAGTCCTTGAGCAATACCATTAATAATGTGGAAGCGCTTAGGCCAATCAAGTGGTGCACTTCCCATTGGATCTGCCAAAAGTTTTTCTCTGATTATGAGGATAATATATTTGTTGGATAATTGGAAATGAGAAATCAAATTCAATATCTATAACTATATTTCTTCAATCATACAGTAGCATGAAGTAGGGGTGTCCAAAAGTCCCGAACCGAACCGGACCGAACCGAGCGGTTCTTCATAAATTAAATACCCGAACGGGTACCCGAATCGAGAACCGATGGGTTTGAGTCGGGTCACGGGTCTAGACCAAGAACCGAAGAATCGAATAAGAACTGAAACTAAATAATTTTTTTATTTTTTATATTGAATTAATTAAATTATTTTATTTTTTTATACAAATTAGCAAATTAATTAAATAAATTAGATTATTTCATAATTTTAATTTTAAAGTCCAAATCAATTTTAAAACCCATTAACCCATTTTAATTTGAAGCAAATGAATATACTTTATGTAGTTTTGCTGTAATATTAATATCTACTTTTTGGTATTTGTATGCATTGAATTAATCTTATTGGACGGCTAGTTATTTATATGTTTTTGAATTGGGCTACGTTAATTTGTAAAAGTTACGAATGAAATGTCATTAGTTGTATTTATGTAGTGTTGCTGTAAATATTAAAAAATTTGATTATAGTACGGAACCGAACGGAACCGAACCGACCCGAACCGAACCGAACGGAACCGAACCCGAACGGTTCCATAATTATATTTGGACCCGACGGGTCCATTTATTAAATACCCGAAAGTTTTGGGTCGGTTCGGGTATCTTCAGAACCGAACCGAACCGACCCACGGACAGCCCTAGCATGAAGCTTCATCTGTTGCAAAAGAGTTATGTTCTGGACCTACTATTACAATTCATTAGAAAAGTTTTGCTTCAGAATTTGAAAAATGTACAAGATTTTTTTTGTCATTATGTGTAATTGGTACTCCTGATAGTGTGTGCTATTGAACTGATTGCATTAAGTGAACATTTCTTACCAAATAGAATCAAGTCAACACTTCTATTAGGCATGAATTCATAAATCAACATCTTTTCTTCTCTTTGAATGCAACATCCTAGAAGCTTCACAAGATTTCGATGTTGTAGTTTAGCTATACTGATAACTTCATTCTTGAAGTCATTAAGTCCTTGGAGGGAATTTTTAGGTAGCCGTTTGACAGCAATTTCCTGCCCCTCCTCCAGTTTGCATAAGGTATTTGTTTTGTGCAGTATTTACAAATTATCATCCACTCACTTTTCACTTGACCGAGTGTGAAATTGTTGAATCTTTGTGTATTAAAAGACTTCATTTCACATGAAAAGAAGAGTAAATCTCCAAATGATAATAGAACAAAATATTTGAAACTGCTCATCTACTGAACATATGGGGACACAAGATAAACATACGAGTATGGATCCCCAGAGTGATGCTTGCCCTGTTATTTTAAGAATGAAAAAGAAAAACAAAACAATATATTACCTTGTAGACAGGTCCAAACCCACCCTCTCCAAGCTTGTTATCAATTGAAAAATTATTTGTGGCTTTAGTTATTGTATGTAAATCGAACATTGGCAGCTCTATATCTTTGCTGTGACTTTCATCATTTTTACTGTCCATAAAGTTGTCTACCAGCCTGCCTGAAACAAAGCAATGAATTTGATGTAAATTGATCGAGAAAAGCAATAGAAGGATTCCAACTAGCAGAATATAGATAAGCTTGGTTTCTACAATTGTCTTCAGTGGAAAATTGTAGATTTTGCTTACCTCCTGTTGTCAGCCTGTGGTTTCTTTTCGTCCTTTTTCTGAAGACACAGCATCAGACTAAGCCCAAGCAGAAAAATGACATTGACAAACATACTTCAAGAACTATTCTTTTTTTTCCTTCTATCTCTGCAAAATTTTATATGCAAATAAAAAATGGATTATATTTTTCATTGCTGATAGAACCTTTAAATTGAGAAGAATACAAATCGTCTAATAGGAAAAAAATTGTTTATTAATTCTTACCTAATTCAGAAGAAGCCATCCTGATGTAAGTATCTTGTCCTCCTTCAGATAGTTCTTTGGTGTTAACTAGGTCACCAAACCAAAGTAGGCATCCACTTCCCCCTCTGCTTATATCCTAGCTAGAATAAGCTGTACAAGAGCAATTTCTAAGGCATGCGAACATGCATTCGTTCAGACCATACTCTCGTTAAACTAGGAATATTGTGTATCTGGCAATTTAATACCAGAATACTTGAGAAATACATCTTTATTTTTAGCAATTCAAGTCTGCGAACACACCCATTTGACCAATCTGCATTTTCCCATCCTTCTGGATCTTTAGGCCGAAATCTATCTAAACATCTACAAACCAGAGAATTCACAACATTGCAACTACCATATGCACCACGCAATCCATAAATGTCACAATTATCTGTTGGAGCAGTAATGTAAACTACCCATCCTTGTGTTCGATTAATCCATGTCATGCGCTGTCCTACCCCACTTTCACTCAAGGTAAATCTTGAAATAATTGATCTGTTAAGGAGCTCAAAAGAATAGTACGCTTCGTTTTTGTTTAGAACTACTCCGTATTTGTAAATAGGATTATACCTCAAGTTTGGCATCCCACTATAGCGGAGTCCATTCCAAGGTCCACTTTTAAAACCAGCGAACCTCTTTTCAAGACATGTTGTGGATAACCAGTAGGATCAAAGAGATATGTAAAATCACCCAAAGATGGATCATCAGTACTCTTCCATGATGATAGATACACTTCTTGACCAGTTCTATAGTTCCAACCGAACTTCATTCCTGAGAACATTGTATCAATTGGATAATTAAAATTTTCCCAGAGGAAATTCTCAGGGTCATCATCATTTGTATCTTTCACAACAAGGTTTCCTGAGTCCAGCAATTTTGCGACAGGAGTTTTCACAGGTCGTGATGTGTTAGAAGACCATACAATAACACCGTTAGCATCGTTTTGAAGAACTAGACGTCCTGGCTCTACAACCTTCAAGACTCCTGATGTATTATTAAGTGGAACTTCTCTGTTGGCAACCCATACTACAGTCATAACTGTTATCTTCTTGTACCACATGCCCACGTATCCATTCTTGGAATTTCCAGGGCTAAAACATCCCACTACAAAGGTTCCATCAGATGAAACAATGATCTCACCTTCTTTAAGGATCCGTGTAGTATTTATAGTATCTATAGCATTGGAAATCTTGACGAAAGACACTAAGAAGGTTAAGACAAAAATTAAGGGGAAATCTGTATTTGATATCTTCATGGTTCTAGCTCTCACAGTATCTGTTAGAATTTGGGTGTGACCCGAATTCCTCGTTGAAGTAATTGATGAATTCTAATGGAAGTACCGTCAAGAAGAATTCAATTTGGAATGCAATTAGAGTTCCATGTCAAGTTGAAGTTCTATTTTGGAAGCCCATTGTGAGTTATAATTTGTTTTGGACTCGATTTTTTGATATCCTACTTCATCAACAACTCTACTAGGAGGATTTGGACATCCCTATTAGACTCTTCTATACAATTTTATAATGTGAGAATAAAGTGTGAAAAAAAAATTACTAGAACTTTAGGATCGGTTGTATATTTCTCCATTATTATTGGTGTAATAAAATCTCTCAATTCCTCTGTCGTATTTTCTTGTCTTCTTTTATTGTTTTGCTTCTGATTAAATACTTCATTATTGTGCCATATAACTTCTCAATTCGGTGGTTGGTTTCACAACAAGTGGTATCAGAGCGATTCTCATATCTTGTTTGTTTCACAATAGTATCTCTGTCTGTTCTTGTTTAATAGAATTGATATATGGGCATGTACACATCTCATTTTCTTGACATGGACCAATGATCATGAGGATAAAAATAATATTGCCGTTACAGAAAAGGCATCCAATTGGTAATCTGAAGTACTATAAGGTCAAGGATATGCTTCAAAATTCAATGCATCTTCTAACTTTTTTACCTGACAAATCTTAAAGTATCATAAGGTCACTGTGAAAGAGGGAAAAGTAGAAACGAGTTGAATTGACTTTGATATGTGGACTATTTCCCATTTTCCATTAACATGGATATTGACCTGGAATAAGCAGTGTGTTAGTTTTCTGCACAGTGACCCTTGATTTTTAGTTGTAAGCAGTTCTTGCTGAACCAATCATCTGGTTGTAATTTACCTCCCCCAGTATACCCAAGCATCAGACTTGTGCATATGGAAGAGTAATCTATGATCTTTTGACTATTTCTCTTTCCATTTTCATCCACAATGACTTGATTATTGACATGGAATAATCAGGTCTTGTTATTTATTCTTGTAATAAATAATGTTCAGCTTAAATTCAATGAAAATATCAACTATAATTGTGTATAGGCTAATAGGCATTAATTTAACTGGGTAGAAGCTCCTCTATGTACTACCATAGAGGTGTCAATATGCTTGGGACGCTTAGGGTCCCACCCTGTCTTTGCCCAGCCCGCTTGCATCATCATCAGACTTGAGCAAATCAGAACATGTCGATCACGTTGTACAAGAAGTGTCAATTCTGTAAAGTCTAATAGTCGATTTGGAAACATTGACACTCGAAAACTGATTCCATAATACTGAAACCGACACATTTATCTGTGATGTATACAACTTTTTGCGGAGACCGGAAAAATGTAGAGGAAAAGAACATCAGAATTGCAAGAAACAAAGATTGTGAAATGATGTAATATATCCCAATTCCTATCTGGCATCTAGTAACGTAATTGTCACTTCGTTTAATGAGTTGGCTGCATTTTTGCTGGTTGAACTCTCAGCAATAACTAAATCTCTTTCTGTGAAAAAACCAGGCCGTTTAGGGTTCGGGAGCTCAACTTCATTTTCCAACATGAAAATCGCTGTAGACATGCTAGGCCTATCTCCTGGATATTGTTGCACGCATAACAGACCGACATGGATTGATCGTAGCACTTCTTTTAAGTACTGTGAAACAGCTTGACAAGTATCAGCTAGTTCCAGTGACCTTCCCTCTTTGTGAAGTATCCATGCCTGTATAAATTTGGATTAGGCTAAGATGACCTTAATTTGTACACATGATGGTAGTAATTTCTCGTAAGACAAAATTCTTACATGTCCAAGAAGGTTGAGGTGGTGATCACTATGAGAAAATCCCCAATTCTTCTTTCCACTGACAATTTCTAGCACCAAGACACCGAAACTATATACATCTGATTTTATGGAGAACACGCCGCCCAATACATACTCTGGTGACATGTAGCCACTGCATAAAGTGTTAACCAGAAAATAATGTTATAAGCAATTGAAATGTATTAGATACAGTGCCGTATATAGATTCTTACTATGTTCCCACAATCCGGCGAGTCTTGGCTCCAGTCTCATCTCCTCCAAAACTTCTAGCCATGCCAAAATCCGATATCCTCGGGTTCATGTCAGCATCAAGCAATATGTTGCTAACTTTGAGGTCTCTATGGATAATTCTCATCCGAGAATCTTGATGAAGATACATTAGACCCCTGGCAACGCCATTGATAATATTGAAGCGCTTGGGCCAATCAAGTAACCTACTTTTTGTTTCATCTGCCAAAAGTTTTTATCTTATCAGTATATTTTACCATTTTTGGATGCTTGAATTTAGTATTAGTTTCAAAGTCTAAGATTAAACTACATCATCTGGCTAACTATAATATGAAGTTATGCCGGTCCCAGAATAAAAATTCCAGTATTTATACAAAACAGAGAATTCCGCTTGCTACCAGCATTGATCTTCTGTTCTCTCCATATTGAGCTACTCGTTAGTGGCACTATGACCTAAATAATGTCGAAACAAATTCTAGCGCCATTATTATGGCATTCCACACAAGTACTGGTAATACAAATTTTGAGGTAACTGTATTGCACTAGGAAATCCTCACCAAATAGAATAAAGTCCAGGCTTTTGTTGGGCATGTATTCATAAACCAACATCTTTTTCTCTTTTTCAATGCAGCATCCAAGAAGCTTCACGAGATTTCGATGCTGAAGCTTGGAAATGCATACCACTTCATTCTTGAATTCATCAATTCCTTGCTCGGAAGTTTTTGATAACCGTTTCACAGCAATTTCTTGTCCGTCTTCCAGCATGCCCTAACATCAGAACATGTGAATACGTAAGGTATTCATACAGTTAAAGAAATTAAGTGCTCTCTCTTTTAACGTGTTCTTAGTGTAAAACCTACATCTTTATGTGTATTCAAGGGATTCATCAAAGAACAATGTTTCTCCCGGAAACATTTATGAAGCTTCCTCGAAAGGGAATCGCTCGTTTTTATTCCAGCCCGAAGATAAAAAGAATTGACCTTTTTTATCCCCAAGTATTTGCCAGAAACATGAAAGTTAATTTGCAGAAGACAAAAAATATGATCATCATCTGGAAAATGTTCATATTTTCTCACAGAAGTCTATAGTTTTTCTCATTCCTGCTAAAATGATGCTCTTCATAGTATTTTACTCTAAAAGGCCTGCACTTTATTGACCGGTTTAGATGAGTGAAAATCACGAAGATTTAGAATTTGATTTTAAGTATGGGATAGCATTAAGCCTAAGTGGCCCTAATTACTTTTAGCTATCTACATGATGCTGTGCAGCACATTTATACCTTATAAACAGGTCCAAATCCACCCTCTCCAAGCTTATTGTCGATTGCAAAGTTGTTGGTAGCTTTAGATATCGTTGAGAAGTCAAATGAGGGTAGCTCCAACTCCTCATTCTGAAGTTCGATATACCTTTCTGTGATATGAGCAACATGGAGGCTATAATTTATCTAATACATGTTGAGAAAAGAAACTGTCTCCCTGCAGAATGTGTTGATTACCTCCTTTTTTCAGCTTTTTCTTTGTCGTCTTTCGAATGTGTAGAATCCAGATCAGGCCAAGCAGAACTATTATTCCCATTGATGCTAACAAACTCCATGTAAGTATTTCTCCTCTCCTTTCTTCTTTGTCTGTAACATTTTATGGCATGTACAGATTAAGATCATTCTCATTTTTCTTTATTTTCAGTGTCAAGTGTTAGCTTGCCTATTCAAATAGACTATACAGCTCTTTGAGAAAATTTATAGACAATCAACATTTATTTATCATGAATTCTTACCCAACTCAGAAGCAGCCATTCTAATATAAATATCTTGATCTTCTACGTAGAGACGTCTGATGTCGATCAAGTCTCCAAACCAAAGCAAGCATCCACTTCCTCCCCTTCTTATATCTAAGTTTGTATAAGCTGAACAAGAGCAATTCCTTAAGCACTCTAACTTGCATTCTTGAAGCGTCATGCTCTTGTTAAACCAGGAATTTCGAGTGTCAGGCATTTTAATACCAGAATACTTAAGAAATATATCACCCTTTTGGCAGTTCAAGGGATCTCTTCTAATGCACCCATTCGACGAATCTGAGCTTAACCAATCTTCTGGATCTCTAGGCACAAATCTACTGAGACATCCACATACAGGAGAATTTCCAACATCACAGATACCATAAGCACCGCACAATTTATAAGTATCACAGTTATCTAGTGGTATGGAAGAATAACTGATCCAGTCTTTTTTCTTATCAACCCACGTCCAACGCTGTCCAAGTCCGTTTGGACTCAATCTGTACCTTGCAATAAGTGATCTACTAATGGTATCTTCCCAAAAGTACACTTCGTTCTTGTTCATGAATATTCCGAACCTGTACGAGGGATCTGGTCCTGGATTTGCTGTTCCACTGAAGCGAAGACCGTTCCATGGTCCAACTCTATGCTGCTCAACTGCACCTTTTCTTATGATTAATAACTGAGGATATCC